AAGCAGACCTCTATCCACAGCCTTTAAGATCACACCTTTACAGATTACCTAGATCTCCCTATGGGGAAGGAAATACAGGGTCACGTGGGGGAAACTTGTCCCATAATATGAAGTAAGTTAAAGGCAGAGCTGTGATGAGAACCTGGTGGAGTCAGACAGGCCTGTGTTGGATCCCTGGTTCTCAGCTATGTGAGGCACGCTCTGAGCCACAATGTCCTTGGTGATACAAACGGACTCTCAATGCTCTGGTGTAGAGGGTTCTTGTAGCAAGTGAGATGGAGGACACATCTAAGTGTGCATGGTGGTTACATAATCTGGTGTCAACTTGAGACTATTAAGAGTGAAGAGGTGGAGGTTAGCCTGTCAATCAGGTCACAGCTTGATGACCTCACTGGAGGCATGACATTTCTGTTGACAAGACACATGGAGCTACGCTAGAGTCTTGGAGCTGAAGGAGTCACATGGAAATCCTTGCTAGTGTTGAGAAGATTCCACCGCCACTGGATCCACAAGACTTTCCACCCACTGGCCTGTGATCTTCCTGCTGCACTTGGCATCATTGCATGTGCTGTGTGAATCTGAATAAGAATTTATAGACTGGTAATGGACATATGGGCTAATAGCGGATTTGTGGACTTGACCTTGACTGAGCTGGGAAGTTTTCTCAATATTCAATTGCTCTTGTATCTAAAGTTCTCTCTTATACACATGTAAGCGTCTATGAATTTGTTTCTCTGGTCAACCCAGACTAACACAGTGTGTCTCTAGGTACTGGCTGCCAGAAAGAGATTCTGTAAATGTCAGTGGTCTGCCTCTTCTTCCTCCTGAGCCCACCATTTCTGCCCACCCCCTTTGTGATCCCACAACGGGACTGGTGTGGTCAAAAGGCACTGGGAAGCTGCCTCAAGACTTGAGAAAAACCAGCAGCTGTGGAGTCGATTAGCGGGAGGGTCCCAGGAGAACTGCCTGGGGTCGAGTTTTCCGAGACTAATTTTGGTTGGCTGCCAAGGGCCTTCACTTTTTGCACTGAGGACTCCACTTCAGCACTACAAATCCGTAACCGTGACGCATAGCTGTGCCAGATAAGGTTTCCACAGCAGACAGCCTCCTCTTTCTCCGGAGGATTGGCTGGTAGGTTTGAACCGCCAACCTTGTGGTTAACAGCCCAACGTTGACGTGACTGTGCCACCTGGGGTTGTTCATCAGCACGTCCAAACTCAAACTCACTGGCACTGAATCCATGCCAATCCCGCTGACCCTGTAGGACAGAGCAGGGCTGCCCCTGAGGGTTTCAGAGCTCAACTCTAAGGGTCGTCACTTACAGACTGAAAGGCATGAGAAGGCAGAATTGTTGTCTGCCTTAAGAATGAAGGAGAAGTGGCACATGAGGAGGCGGAAGGTTGCACAGAAAGGTTGGCAGCTGAGAAATCTAGAAACAAGTGGCTCCAGTCCTCTGGGGGCTGTGGAAAGAAGTCTGGGCAGGCAGCCGGAGGTAGAGCCTGGTGCCAGCGCTGTCACCCAGACAGTTTCTTTTCCACTCACTCACTCACAGCCATCAAGTTGATGCCGCTCACAGTGACCTGATAGCACAGAGTAGAAATGCCCCCGTGGGCTTCTGAGACGGTAACTCTTTCCGGGTGTAGCCAGTCTCATCTGTCTCCCTGGAAGCAGCTGGTGGTTTTGAACAGCCCATCATGTAACTAAGCCTCCAGGGTTCCTGGGCTTCATTGCCCACGCGCGCGCACGTGCGGAGGATGAGCCGCCCTGCCAGGTCTCTCTGGACCAGGAGCCACGTGCCTGGGTGGGCCAATGGCCCCATTCATACTGCTGGGCACAGTGGATGGGGAAATCCACTTCCTCTTCTCAGCCCCCACCCCTTGAACCCCTTGGGGATTTCACACCACACAGAAGGTACTCTCAGGGAACTGGGGCTTTCTAGGTTGTCTTTGTTTATAGTTCCTTTAAAAGCCAAAGACAAACTACCCTGTAATTGAATGTGCCTTTTAAAACTCCAAAGGAAGCCATTTAACCTTGCTGGTAACTATTGTGACTCATAATAAGTTTTCCTCTGTTGGAAAAAAAATAAAAAGAGAAAGGCTTTCCAGGAAGGTGGGTTACTTTAATTAGCTCCCTTCCCCTCCTTGCCCCTAAAAGCACACAGTAACTTACGTTTGGTTACTTTAATTAGCTCCCTCTTTTTTCTTGTCCTTAAAAGCATACATCATCTAGCCTCCATGCTCCGAGAGGCCTGAAGCGAGAGAGCTGGCCCTCAGGAGGTTTCCGACAGCACACACCCTTCGGCCTCGTGGGGTCCAGGAAGAACCTTTCCCCAAGTGGAGAGCGGACAGAATAAAATCAGGTGACTTACTGGGCCTAAGGGGAAGGGCCCTCTGGCTCTCTGTGACCTCTGTGTATCTCATCATCCCAGAACCTCAGGATGCAGTTGAAGTGAGTGGTGAGCACAGTTAAAGCGCTCAAAGTCGTCTCAACATACTGGGTTTTCCAGCCCAATTGGAGTGGTGCGGAAGAGAGGCCTGGTGATCTACTTCCAAAACAGCCCCAGAAAACCCGAGGGAGCACAGTTTTACTCTGAAACTCATGAGAGCCACCAAGAACGAGTCAAGCTCCCCTGTGCAGCTCTGTGCTAAGAACTTTACACATCAGCTCATGTAATTCTCAAGCCCAGTTTCTAAAAACCCAAACCGAACCCACTGTCGTGAAGCCGATGCAGACCCATACTGACTTTATGCGGCAGGGCAGCGTTGCCCCTGTGGGTTTCTGAGACTGACGCTTCACGGAGTGAAGGTATTATTTTCCCCCTTTACAGGAGAGGGAGGTTAACTGGACTATGCCATCAGGTCATATGGCCGGAAGCACAGAACAGAAACTATTATTGCAGGTCTCTTTGATTCTCGATCCTTACTCTTCAAACCCATCTGTTCTTGCTCTCGTTTTATCTGGAAGTTGGGGCCCCGATGGAGATAAATGGCTTATCTATGGACACGGATCGAATTGTCAGTCATCCTGGGAAGACAGATTCCCAAAGTCCCCGCCTGGATCAGGAGTTTCCATCCCTCAACTTACCAGACACATATTCCCACAGTCCCAGATCGAACAAAGGTGAGAATTTGCTCAGCTTGTCTGTTAGCCTCTCTAACTCTCCCCAGGTCTGCACCCTCCCTCCCCTAGCCTGCCTTTCAGCATTCTCTGTGGCTCAGGCTCACTCTTTCACCCTCACCCAGAACTGGTCACTGGAACCTAGAGCAAAGCCCTCGTCCTAGCTTTTAGCAGTGCCCCACATGCCCAGGTCAGCAGAGCTGGTTTCCTCTAGGGAAAAGTGCAGAAATGTCACCCATCACTCATCAGCTGAATTGATTTTAAAGCCTCCCTGAAGTTCTTGAGATGGAAGGAAATTCTCTTCTCAAAAGGGGAGAATAGGTACCTTCCTAACATACCTCTTCAGAATTATACCCAATTAAAAATGAACTGAGTACAACTGGCCTCCCTCTCCCCTTCTCAGTCCATCTGCTCCTAGACACCAAGTAAAGTAGCCTCACTCCTCACTTATCCATGGAGGTGATCAGGTTCCACAGACCAGGTCGGTATCAACAAAAGAGATGTTGTGTGAAAATGGAGGATGACTACGTTATATCACAAAATGGAGAATGACTACATCATTGCACGATGGCCAAGCTCCTGAGAATCACAGCTCAGCCAGGCTGAACCATGTCCTTAGTAACCACCACAGACAGCGCTACTGTCACCTACCACCTGGGCATTACTGCAGAGCTTCACAACTACCAGACACATGTCCTTAACACGCAAACTCCTCAGACAGTGTGTATTTTACTATTGTGAAAATTGGACAATGAGATCGTCGATAACTGAGGAGTAGGTGTATAAAGACTATAGCTCTAGATATATTGCTATCAGAGCAAGAAGATATGGTTTCAATATGAAATTGTGAAGCAGAAACGTTTTGGGTATATGTATCCCCCAGGGACCCCCTAGCCTCCTCCCTCCCACCGCCCCCAGCTACCTTCTCCCTGATTCTGTCTTCCGGAAGGGACCTAGATGGCTGCTACAGACATGGGCAAGCATGTGTAGCTCTGGGGGGCATTGATTCTCTTCCACTTCTACTTTCTGTGTCTCTAATGATCCACTTGAAAGACTAATGAGGTCTTGTTGGGATGCTATTAAAGTTATTTGGTGGTGTTACAATTTACACTCATCTTTCTTTAAGTTCGTTTTAATTATATGGAGCTTTCAAAGCAGGGCTTGGAATATGGGGTTGAAAAGAGACGCTCAGAAACTTTCTTCCCGCCAATTCTTTTCTGCCCCCTTTCCCGTCTTCTCCAGGCACCGAGCCTTCCCCGTGGAGCCTCCCTGCCCTTCCACCAACCAAAGTTAGCAGGGAAGGGTTTGCACATGGGCCTCTCTGGCTAGCCCGCTGAGGCCTGCCTCGCGCCCACTAGAGACAGATTCTGCCATCCGCTGGTCAGCACAACTGTGGCAAACAATCGCCGTCCCACAGACTCCACTCCTGGGCTTCCGCCGTGTGTCTGAGTGGAACTGTCCTCCGTAGGGCTTTCCAGGGCTGACTTTTCAGAAGTAGATTGCCAGATCTTTCTGCCTCGGTGCTTCTGAGTGGACTCACACTGTGAGGACCTTTCCAGTAGCCCATTAGCAGCTGAGCACATCCATGGCTTGCAGGCCTGCGGGTTCTCTGTCGGGCACAAACCCCTCGGAACCCAGCCTGATTCTCGGGTGTTCGGCTGCTATGGCAGCAGGCTCTCCCTCATCCACGTGGTCCTGGGTTTGGCTTCTCTGTCACCTTTTTCCAGAGGTTCTCTCCTCCTGTGGACCAGTCTCTCCTGCTCAAAGGTTCCAGGGCTGTTGCTGGTCTGATTGGTTGAGCAAGCAAGAGGAGCCCCCACACCTTTCCAACAACTCTCTACCACCCTCTGCTTTCCTGTCCCCCCAGGAGAGAAGCGCCTTACCTGTCTCCACCTGGCCCAGGGCACTGCGAGCATCCGCGGGCTCCGCCACATCCCCACTCATCTTGATATCTGCAGGGAAATCGCAACCAACTTTAATAACAGGTCACGGTTTTCCTTGCCATGACATATGTGGCTTTAACTGAACAGCAAAGATGAATGTGTAATTACAACAGCCATCCGACTTTCAAATGCCTGATTCCCGAATAGACTACCATTAGAATATTCATGAGCATGGGGGCATGGCTCCCCTCCTCTCCGCGCCGCCTCCACTCCCCTCGACTTCCCATTCCTAATCGTAATTTCCTTCGGAATTTGTGCATTTGTTTTATTTTCTAAATGTGACTCTAAATGGCCCTTCACCCCCATAGAACCTTATCCTTTAGCTGAGTTTGGCTCATCTTTCTCCCTTAGCTCCTGCTTGTGGTGCTGAGTTGGGGGGGCAGGGGGGGGCACTGCCTGGGGATCGAACCCCAGCTGCCAGGCTGCCTTCCTTAGAGACTCTGTCCCCCCTCCCAGCCCTTACCTTCTCCCCTACTCTTTCAACTTCTCGAGAAAAGGCTGGCAGGCTTCATCCCCACGAGTCTGAACTCCTTCCTGGGGACCAGGAATGCAGACTCAGAAGAAGGGCCCAGCATGGTCATTTCAACCCACAGCAGACACTGCCACTACCTGCGAGGCCCCTAACTCCTCCTCCAGGGTCAGCAAAAAGAAGGAAAGAGGTCACTCTGAAGTAACTCTCTCTCAGGGCTCCGCTCTTTATTAAGCCACCCCAATACTGAATCTGTGAAAGACAGAAGAATATTTTATTCAAATCCTTGTCACCCCCACCCCCTTTACCCCCACCTTCTCTAAAGGGGCAACATTTTAACTCTTTCAAAGCAGAGTCTTGGTGAGCTGATTTGCATACCTGACTCCCCAGCCAATCCCAGTTAAGCAGGCAACCTCATTTTGCATCAGGCCGTTGGCAGTCTGGACACCCGGGTCTGGAGATGACTGGGACGGAGCTGCAAGGGTGGACCCTACTCTTCCTTTGGCCCTTCAGGGCCATGGCACACCTGCTTTGGCAGAGGGTGGCACTGTGGTCCATCAGGAGTGTGGCTCTGGAGGCCCCTGCTTCCTTCCTTCCCAGGACAGGTTTTAAGCTTCCCGCCGCTTTCCCTAGTCTTCCCAGAGTGCACGTGCACAACCAGGACGTGGATGCCCAGCGGGTCTCTGCCTGGCTCACCTTTACCTGCGATGTTGAAGTCAACTTGCTTCATCCCACCCATGAGTACCAGCTGGGAAGGGGAGGGGAGCCTCGAACCCAGATCTGCACAAGGGCTTCTCAGCAGGGCTCCTGCCAGATGCTCCAGGAAGCACAGCTGCCTGATTGTGGGTTTTAATCTGCTACACCAGGACCAGGATTGAGGGCAAGGGTTTGGGGTCTGACAGACCTGGATTTAATTCCTGGGTCATCACTGAATAGCTGAGGCCTCCTGGCGGCATCCTTGAGGCTCAGTCTTCCCCAGCGAGAAATGGGCACAGTGCCACTGCCTTAGTGCTACTTGAACAAGCCATCAAGTCAATTCCTACTCAGGGTAACCCCGTGCGTCAGGGTAGACTGGGGGTTTTCGATGACTGATTTCTCAGAAGCCAGTTATCGAGCATCATCCGAGGAGCCTCTAGGTGGATTCAAACTGCCAACCTTCTGGTTAGCAGCTGAGCACTTGGCCATTTATGCCACCCAGGGACTGGTGAGCCCATTCACATTCTCCAGCTTCTGATGACTAGCGGGAAAAGTGCTCACAGGACAAGACGAGACCACAAGGCAGAGAGCTGGGGATGGTGGTCAGATTCTCTGCATCAACTCATGCAAGTCAAACTCTTGACATTTAAGAAGCGTAACGCTTGAGCCAAACTGTCACTGTGTGCTCGTGACCCCAAATGTGTTCCAACAGCCCTTCCCAGCATCACCTTCAAATATACACAGAAGACACCTCGTTTATCCTTTAAATCAACATATCATGCCCTCGCCTCATCAAGGAGCCCTGGTGACGCAGTGCGTCACCCTCTGCTAGCCGCACGGCCAGCACTTCACATGCAGCAGCTGTCCTGCGGGAGAAAGGAGGCTGTCTGCTTCCACAAGGACTTGCTGCCTGGGAACCGCTCGGAGGCCACCTGCTCTGTCCCGTAGGGTGGCTCTGAGTTGGACTCCACCGACTTAAATGCTTTTCCTTCCTCGTGTCTGAAGAGGACGGCTGAAGGAGAGGACGGTGCCTCTAACTCTGCCCAGGACGTCTCTTCACCTGTTGTGCCCAGGCCAGGAGCAACACTGGACCAGGGGCTGAGCCTGCAAGCAGGGGCAGGGTGAGGCCACCTCTGAACCCTCTCCTTAAGTCCCTGGGATGCCAAGGCACCCAGGGCCTGTTCCTGTTGGGTAGGAGGCTGAGGCTGATGGGTGCGACGAGCTCTTGGGTCTCAGCCTAAAACTGGGCAGACACCGAAACTTCCTAAGATGCTGTAACCCTCTTCCTGTCGGACAACGCTTGCCGGAGTGAGTGAAAGAGGGGTGGGGTGGGGCCTGGCTTCTGACTGTGCTCTTATCTCAGCTGGCGACCAAGTGGGCTCCGTGCCATTGCTCCCTGCCCTGGGAGGCTCAGCCGCTGTGTGGAAAAGCCCAGAGAGCAGACTCAGGCCCTCCTCTGCCTCGGCCTGCATCCTCACGTCCTGGAGCTGGAGCCTGGCCTTGGACCTCGGCACCTGCATTGGCCTTGCCCTCCCCAGCCCTTGGGGTGGCACAGAAGCAGCCTGCAAACAGCCGGGATGTGCGACTGATTCCACCAAGAGAAACCCAGGGGCCCCTTCTTGTAGACCGCAGGCCGCGTGGGCAGTGACCCACCTTGGGCAAGCAAAGCTCTGTGCCTCTCCCTCCGACTGTCTGGTCTTCATTCAGGAAAGGGCTGGGCTTCCCATGGGACTCCACACCGGCTGACAGGGGCATGTCTACCAGGTGGACTTCAAGGGCCTCGCTAGTCTACTTGTGAGCTAGCTAGACCAGATGTCTCTAGTGTGTTGGAGAGCAATACGCTCCCTCTTGCTCCTTCTTACCCCAGTGGAACAATGGCTGAACTCTAACCGGCACCAGGCTGTGATGTTCTCTCCCAGGCCTGGCAAAGGTGGGGAAGGGCAGGGCAGGGCAGGGAGATCAGTGCCCTGGGGCCAACCAGGTGCCCCCCCTCCGGCTATCTTCCCACCCCTTTCCTCTGTCTTTTCCCTCCCTCCTTCTCTGACTCTGTCTGACTCTGTCATACTCCTCTGCCTTTTCTTGACGTGGGTGGGGGAGCCCCTCCTTGGCTGGGGTGCCCCCCATCTGATGACTTCATGTTGCTCAGGCCTCGATGCTCCCACGTGAGAGATGTTCTATAAAGCTCCAAATGCGGAGGTTCCGGGCAACCTGAATCGTGGCTGGCACCCACGCTGCCAGGGCCAGCTCACTGGGGCTGATCAGTGGGGACTGCGGCCTGTGCCCAGACTGTGTGCTCCTCTTCCCCACTCAAGACCACTCACGCTGGGGAGGTGTGGTCCAGGGCCCTGGCCTGGGAACTCACTCGGGAGATGCCGTCTATTAAGAATAAGCAGAATATAGGATTCCTCCACTTCCAGCAACTTGCTGGCAAGTCGATTCCGACTTACTGAGATGCCTGCAGGGCAGAGCAGAGCCCCCCTAGTTTCCGAGTCTGTCACCTGTGCAGAAGCTGCCTGCCACATCTTTCTTCCACGGAGCTGCTGGCGGGTTGGATGCCCCGGCCTTTGGGTTAGCGGTGCAGTGTTTAACTGCTGCGCCATCTACAGGGCTCCTAAGATAGGGTAAGAGACCAGGTTTCCACAAAGAGGGGCCTGGATCCAAAGACCCGCGAGAGGGGCTTGGACAGAGACCTTCCCAGAGGGGCCTTACCTCCCCAACCTCACGCATCCCAGCAGGTGCCCCCTCTAAGACCGTCCACCGAAGAATCAAAGCCGAACCCAACAAAGCACCCTCAGAAGCCTTCAGAAAGACCCCACAGAAAGGTCCGAACAGAGAGGCCCCTCCGAGGCCCCTTGAAGGGGAAGGAGCTACCACAGAGGTATTGAGGCTGGGCAGCCCCCTCGGGGACACAGACAGCCTGGGGAGAGCCCGGACACACAGGCTGAGGAGCAGCAGCAGTGGATCGACAGAGAAATCAGACACTGCACCCCCACGCTGAGGGAGAGCTCTCCCGAGGGTGGGGGTGGGGGGTGTCTGCCTCACCTGCATTCAGTTTAACAGTCCCCTTGGTGTCTGGAAGCCTCGCCTGGATCTGGGGTTCTAAGGAGCAGCACCCCAGCAAGCTTTCCAACATAAAGGCAAGGGGGCCCTGGCCTGCCCACATTCTCCGCCTCAGCCCATTCCTGATTCTCAGCTGGGGTCTTAGTAGCTTAGTAGCTTCTCTGCTGGTCTCAACTGTCCCACTTCCCCTAGGGAGGGCCTCCAGGAGCAAGTCTCTGACCTTGGTCCTAAAGAACTTGCCCACGGTGACCCCCTCTCTGAAAAGCCTGGCTCCCCTTTAAGCCAGAGCCTTCCCTGTGCGAAGTGAAGGAACCAGTGTGGCTGCCTAGGGAGCTGCCCCAGTGCTGCTGGCCCCGTGTCAATGCCATGGGGTCTGGAAGCCAACCTTCCCACACACCGGAGGGCACCCAGGAGGTTGTTCCTTCTGCCTCAGCTGGCTCTCCCTGGCATGTCTGATGGATCCATGCAGAGCCAGCAGCTCTCTGTGAGCCCCTGCCTCACCGAGTCCTTCGGGGAAGCAGCATCGGGGAGCTGCAGCCTCCCACTCTACCCCTGGGGCCCTTGTGAACCCTCTGCTGCTGGTTTTGGAACTGGGGAGCCCCAGGAAAGGCCAAAGGCTCTAGAGTACTCTGCTCCTTGGAATGGGCGAGGAGAATTGCCTGCCTCCACTTCTTCTAACTCCTTCAAAAAGCAGACAAGGTAACAAAAGTTCAGCCAGCAGCTTTCTTTACCTCAGTCCCTGTTCTGTACTGGGGGAGGAGGTGGGGGTGGGCAGAGCTCCCTG